CCTATTCACATATACAGAGAAAAGTCGAAGGTCCGAGTTGTACGACAGGATAAGTTGAATTTTATTTGTCATTTTCATTAGTACACATCTCCTTCTGGGGAGTTTATGGTCTTCTTGGTGCACAGTGATCACTGAACCATCGACGCCCTGAAATGAGACGTGACTGGTGGACGGAGCGTGTGCATTCTCCAGCACAGCTGTCAAATGTCTTATAGTACTTGCGTGTTTGCACCACGTAGTATGAGTTAGTTCACCTTGTACTTTCCATTACTATAATAGTGTAGCCTTGGGCGTCGCGGTCCCGGGTGATTCAAAACGAGATAGCATATATACCTGATCGTTCGACGGACGTCCAGAACTTGGCCGTTATCCTGTGGGATCTCCCATCTGTTGCAGTGATTTGACGTACGCATCTCTAATTCCAGTATGAGCCACTCGGTTTGAGCGGACACAGTCTGTGTGGCATGCTCAGTAGAGCACCCGGTATTTTTGGCGGCCTTTTGCATTCCCAAGAAGGCTGTTGGTCAATTTTCTAAAGTGGGTCTTACGAATTGTGCGTGTACAACGCAGTTGCGGTTGACGTACAAGCAGCCGGCCTTGTGACAACAGAGGTATCGGGGTCCCTGTGACAGCATTTGTAGGTCTCGCCGAAACCTCCGTGCTTGCATTAGAACTGTCCGACAACAAGCAAGCCATGTGCTGGATGTTCGCAGAGCGTTTTGTGGCCAAAATTACATGAATGCTATGCAATAAATGCGTGCTTTCTGAGTGTTCTTCTAATATGGAAGTAGCACGACATGATATCGTAGCAGGACGCTGCTCCTGCGGCTCTTATTTGTACCAGTGCTTTACCTGATGATTCTCCCCTATTATTTCACAGAAAAAGCCCAACAATTTACGCATGGAGGCCAATTGTTCGTTTTTCACAAAAACATACATAACCGGACGCCTATTACCCATTCTATCAGTGGTCTGAAAGCTATACAGCCTGTATCCATATTAGTTGCTTCAAAATAACTTACCAAAAACTGTGAACATACACTCATTTGCGAACTAATTTGTTTTTTTCGAGAGACTCACCCGAAACCCGGCTGAATCTTTCGTTTGTGATGTTCTCAGGCAACTGAATGTGTCGCACAAGATCGCCTCATGTTTCAGTAGCTACGATATTCGAGATGTCGCGATACGTGTATATCTTTGTAATGTACTACTCAGAAGGTTGCTGAAATTTCGTCGACAGCCCACGACCGGTTTCGCCCTTCTTGGGGCTCATCAGGTAGGCGCAGTCCCCGGGTTTCCGTCAACCTTATGTTCTACTTGAAACCAAATTGCACGAAATTGGCGAATATACACTCATCTGCAAACTAATTTGTTCTCGTGAGAGACTCACCTGGAGCCCAGCTGAATCTTTCGTTTGGCTGCACCGGGCCGCCTTATTTTTCAGTTGCTACGATAATCGAGATATCGCGATACCAAAAACTGTTTATCACGCACGTTCAATTGATATCAGTTACACCTGGTCGATATCATGCTACCTGCCGTCACCTAAGGAAGCGTGATTGGCTCTAGTGGCCTTCTCCTGATTGCAGAACAAGCACACGTCCAGTCTCCCGAAGTTTTGCCAGGACTGAAGGCATATCATTCGCCAAAATAGAACCCAACTATTGGGTACCTACTTGGCAGAGTTGGTGGTGAATGCGTATCTCCTGAGTGTTAAGAATCTTGCCAAATTCATCGATCACAAACTGCTGCACTGCACAGGATAGCGTTCCATACTTCAGCAGAGCACTGCAGGTACCCAACTCTTCATCGGCTTTCCGTCATGTAACCGAAACCCAATCGTGCAAAAGCCTACAAACCCTATGTTTTGTTTTAGAAGGTAGGAGGCTACCGGAAAATGCTTCAACTGCTTCTTTATTCAAGGACGTACCGAACAGCTGGTGCTATGCATAATACTTTTTTCAGTGGAAAACACCTCTTCTAGTTAATTGACTTCTCGCTTGTCCTGCAGGCGACCCACCACACCTTTAGTACACCCATTCGCAACACATCAATTATAAGATGAACACGCAAGTACAACATAGGTGTCATCCACTCATTCGTTTAAAGAATTCCCAAAATCCATGAAGGATGAAAAAGATACAGGTTCCAATACGGCCGATTCTGAAGTCAATTCAAGGTCGGACGAACGCCATAAAACTGGATGTTCAACTAATTAAAGCAAATTGCGAGAAGACGTAGAGTTAGATGATTTCTGGTTAAAGTACATACGCAACAAAATGCAACATTTAGGATTTAAAGTTTTATTCCACTCGCAAATGTTTTTCAGATAACAACATTGTGCATCTGAGGTGCAGCGCCACTATCAGTCATCACACCCCAAGTTTATTACTGCAGGCCGTATAACTGGAATGGCTGACCCAGGAGATTCAAGAGTTTTCAGGTGATTCAGGTTCTACGCTGGTATTTTTCGCAATGCCCATGAATACACGCTCGAGCAGCTAGACAATGCGCCAGAGAGTCTGAGATAATCTGCACGAACAACTAATTCGTATTTTATCGCGAGAGATGACTCGGAGATTACAGCGCGGGGTTACTCACTAGAAGCTTCGTGAATCGGACTCGACCTCTGCATCTAAACTTCTATCTAGGTTTGAGAAACCCGATCGTATACCAGCCCTCGTGCTTTCTTCGTAATCGCATGGCGAACCGGCATCGAAACTGTATTAAAACTGAACGGTTTTTTTACGTGTCATATCATCGAATTTCTGGGGCCGGTGCTTTACTGCATGCTGACTCCGTGTTGAAGCCAGATAACTAGGCAAATATTGTAGAGGGTTCGAAATTGCTGTGATACATCTCATTTAGAAGGCACAAATGCGCCACCCCTAATTCCATATCTCTCAACCCTGTCATGTTCAGTGTAGGGTGAGAGGATAAGCCTCAGAGGCTGCAACAAAAATGCGCACCCCGAAACAAACGGACTTTCGGGACCTAAGACTACGCTAAAGCATTGACCTCCATACATGCGTTCGACAAACGGGTGAAGTGGGGATGAACATGGAGGAACACGTGAAATTTTATATGTGAACACTTCCACGGAAGTAGTTGTCATACGGGCGGACGACGTTGGAGGGAAAACATTGACATTACAATAACCAAGACAGAATGACGCCATACTGTGACATAAAATCGTTGTAATACCGTTTTTTATCGCTTTGGTTTATAAGTAAACGTATTCCATCCTCTGTTCCCGAGCAAATAAATTAAGAATGTTCGTGCCTTTGTAGGTTTGAAGCCCGTAAAACGGAAGGCGCAAATAATGCAACTCATTTCTTTTCTATAAATTGAAATGTTATCCTAATTTTTCATCTAGATGCCCTGTGGAAGGCTAATGTGAGTGAAATGTTGCACCATTCTCTTGGATATTTTACTTTACGAATATTCTACTTTTCGTTAAACATTTGCCTTTGAATATCTTTAGAATACAGCCTTTTGGGGAAAACAAGGGGTCGGGCCCTTAAATCTGCTTCCATCACTGTCTTCCTGCCCTTCGTTTCTTCAAATCTCCTAGCCATTATAATTCCCATACTCTATATTCTAATCACGTTTTGCCTCGTTTTGAATAATTAGGTCAAGTTTTGAATCCCTGGTTTGTGTGCGATGAAGCAAGGGAAATATTCATTGAATGATATCCGGGATTGTCACGTTAGACCCTCATTTGTCCTACCCAGGGCAGATATTTCACTCTAATCCTTCGACCCCGAAAACAGCTGTCCTCCTGACCCTCTCATTTGTAGCCTTCATCCCTGACACGTTGTCGTCAACTCAAGGTCGTGAAGAGGAGATAAATAAACTAAGTCTGCTGAAAACTCCCCTTTTCAGAATGCCCCCTTCCCTGAACAATAGTCGATGCTACTAATATTCACATCCTCAGACAATCCTCAGACAGGAAGTTTCCTGAAACACTTCCCTCAAGATACTGGATCCTGGCATTTATCATGAATTAAATCTTGGTATCTACATACATTTTCGCATGCAGTTGTTTGCCGAACCTTTTCCGTAACCACTACCCACCATGCTACTGATGTACATGCACATTAAGTTTGCCATCCTTTAATCGTACCGTTAATCCTCCTGCACTCATATCCTGTGCATACCCCACCACCTCACTCTAAAACTTTTTCCAGTCCCGTTGACTCGGACTTACCATTCTTAATCTGTTGCTCATCAGCTCAGATCTATATAGTTTTCCGAACTGGAGAACATTGGACCTCATAGTTTATTGGTTGCTTCTTTGTTAGGTAGCCACTGCCAAATCGACCATACACATGCGGGAAACCCAGCTACTCAATTTTATCGGGTGTTGACCAAGGGCAAATCAAACCTCCCATTCTTACTAAGTCCAAACACACTTATTTGCTAGGTTGCACGCCGAGGTGTTCTTTTCTTCTGGCGTACTGGATGACACTGTTCCCATTAACCAGCACCATTATCGGTGAGGGTCATTCTCTCCTCTCCTTCAAGCCACTCACCGCGAAATCAGTACTTAACACCTTTCGTTCACAGTCAACGAAAATCTGACTTTATACCAGTGTAAAAACCTATCGGACCTGTTGAACGTACCACCTGAAACCGTGATCGCCGACCCGAGTCTACGGGTTTGCGGACTCCCACTCCAGAGCAAACTTAATAAACCTACTTATACCGAGGCTCGGGCTATCTTCGGATAGACCCGTACCTTCAGTGAGGCGATCGACATGCCAAAAACCTTCTTAGCCACAAGAAGCTCGACCAAAATTTCCACCTCAGGTATTCGTCCTTGAAAACCGTGAGACAGCGTGCTTTGCAGGCGCAGTTAAGTCATCCAATCATTGGGCTCAGTTTACATCCAACGCCCGACAGCTTCTTCTTGTCCCTCGCCGACATCAGTTCACGCCTGAGTATTCAGCAATATCTGTCATTTATTTTATTTGGAACTGCGTGAATCTTTCATACTAATGTCGGATCAGCTGAATATCCTTGTAGTTGGGGCTGGAGGAATCGGCTGTGAACTTTTAAAAAATCTGGTTTTGGAAAACTTCACTAAAATCACTGTTGTAAGTTGAAATGACTGATTAATTAAGCAGGTTGATCTGGACACGATTGACATCAGCAATTTGAATAGACAGTTTTTGTTTCAACGAGTTCATGTTGGCCGTCCTAAGGCTGAGGTACGGAATATGTGTCTCCTACCACTTATTTGCTTACCAGGTGGCTCGGGAAAGCGTTTTGAGGTTCCGGCCAAACTGCGAAATCACAGCTCTCCATAAAAGTATATTTAGGTGAGTTCTCCCTCTTTGTGAATTCAGTTCCCAGTTCGACCTTCGATACGAACTTTTTCTCCACGTTTGACCTGGTTTTCAATGCTTTAGATAATCAAGGTAGGTGTCGAATTTCCAACGTTTATTTTAATAACACGGTTGATTTCTCGTGCTTTTTCTACGGTACCAATAGCTTCAGAACGAGCAAAAGCGTTGTTATTGACCCACCAATCTGTCATAATGTATATCTGGGGCCACAACTCAGCCGCTCTACAAGTCACCACGCTATAGGTAAATTAGGAAAAAGGTTAGGCGGGCTGAAATGTTTTTAGGACAAACGTCTAGCCACACAAGTGAAAACTGGTGTTCCTGTTTGAAGCATGAAAACCGTTCTTTTAGAGCAGTGCGATTGAAGACTTGCATTCGACTCCAGTTTTCTGTTATACAGGTTTCCCAACCTTGGCTACTGTGAGTTGGGGGTCATCGAGTCGATCCCGACCGATTTCCGTGCCTTTGAAGAATCTCACAGGGATCCTCGCGGAAAGTTGACTAATATAGCGTAACGTGCTAAGAGCATCTCTCAAATTTTCCACTGAAAGGCGGAGAACTGCTGCACCTTAGTGGATTGTTTAACGTGAGCACTATCGACAAAAACAGATTCTGCAGCCATCATAAAAAGCGAAGACGAAGTGACCACCAAAATCAGCTCAAAAACAAACCGCTCGAAACGAATATATTGAGATGGGATTTTTCCGAAGTAGACATCTATAGCGTGCAGACTTGCGAGCTTTATGACTGAAACCACATTTTCTATCAATTCATGGACGTAAGCGGAACGAAAACTTGAATCGTGTGTGGGTTAATCTGAGAATGTGTAGAGGTTGAGAAGTATATCCTTGTGTTGTTCGTGCTGGTGTGGTAAAACACGTCAGTTGATAGATGAGGAAAGTCGTAATACGCGGACAAGTGTTAACTCGCACCTCTGCACGGAGAACGGGGATGAACGATTACCCTAGTTGGTGAATTTTACATGCGAAACGAAGTGTAGTTGTGTTGCGTTGAGAGTTTCCCGGGCGGTGAGGAATATCGTACACACTTGTACACACCGTAACATGAGTAGATTTGTGCTGTTGGATTGATGCTGCTTTGAATTGACCACGGAAAACAACAGTAGTCACTTAGCAAAAGGCGCGAATTCCCGTTGAGTCCAACATGTAGGGGCTGGCGTATTTCATTAAAACAACCTTTGCACAATAACTTGACCGATATCGCCAAGGAGAAGAGATGATTTTGAGCAAAAAATAGCAGCTTAAAAGTGCTGCAGAAGCATAAACTCTGTCTACGGTGATCTAGTTCTATCCACCCCCAACTGAATCCGTTTACGAGGCAGCAGCTTTTAGTAAACAAAGAACGTGATCACAGCTACCTATACTTAGCTAGCTTCTTACATCTTGAAATCTGCAGTTTTCTTATAGGGAATATTGCCCATCAGACCAGACAAACAAACAAGGTGTGTTGCTGGACTGGTTTTATTATCACAGCTCTTTGACCAGCGTACTAGTAAAGCAACCTTCATTGTGAACCAATGGTGCACTACTGTGCAGTCTCGCTAGCTAGGCCGGGTAATGGCTGTCCATGTGGACAAATAACTGTGCGGGTAAATGATTCTTCCCAGTTTACCAAATTGAGTAAGTGGGGTTGGACGATGTTCTCCATCTTAAGCCTCTGAATCAAGTTTGAAGTCAAAAGATAGCGGGCGATAGATTTTTCTTTGGGGACCCGGAGCCGATGACTCAATAGTCTGACCTGGATGCACGGGGGGCGCAGAAAGTAAGGCATCATGGTCTCCTTATGTGGCTGCACGCAACAGGTGCCCTGTGAATGACGCCAGAATCTGTTTTTTAGAATATATCGACAGTATTGAATTATGCGCCGGTGGTCACGGTCAACTGTTGATGATCGGAATGATCCGTCTCGAAGACACTGGACCTTACCGTGGTGTGACGGTGACCCATTGAGCTATAATGGAGGGTGTCCGCGCGACACTCGCAGGGTCCTTCACATCAGGTTGGTCAGTGGTTAGAGGCCTGACAAACGCAGCCTGCTGGTCCTCCAGGTTCGAGGTTGGGACGTGTGACTACTTATTCCGTAGAAATGATAATGCATTTCCATTTCCCGCCAAACACCACTGCCTTGCGGTCAGGCCTTTGAGCCAGAGGCTTTGGTTTCGGACCCTAATCTTCCTCCTGTATAAGTGTGGGTGCCCTAGCAGTATCGCAACCTACGTACAACCATGAACTGCACATATAAAAATGAACTCATTCCACGTTGGCCGTTGCGGGGTGCCATCAACCGGGTCACCTTGCTTGTTGCGTTACAGCAGGGCGGTTAAGCGAAAACTGGCTACCGCTGACGCCTTCCTTCTTTCCCTTTTACATACTTTTCCTGCCCCCTCTCCCCATCCCACTGATTGCTCTATCATTGTAGGCTCATCACTTTGGACTGATGACTCCGTTCGTACTGCATCGGTTTTGCAAGCAACATCTGCGCGTCATCCGACACTGACATGTTCAACCATATCGGAAGCAATCTTCAAGACTCGACGACCAGTGTATCTGGTCGCATTCAATGTCCGCACTCTGAAGGAAGCAGTTCAACAGGCTGCCCTTTCACTGGACTTGCTTGGCATTGGTGTGTGCTGTGTGTCAGAATTCAGGATGCAGGCACAGCTGTTGGGCTAACCGCCCCATCACTCTCCACTCACCTCCGGCTACGCACCTCTGGTGATTCAGAGGCTGTTGCGGTAGGATGTACAGAGGTTAGTGTCGTCCATGACTGGGTACCCGTTAATGGTCGCCTCTGTGCGGTTCGTCCAGCAACGTCTTTGAAGGAGTCCGACAAGGAGGAAGTTGATCAATACAGCAGGGCGGTTAAGCGAAAACTGGCTACCGCTGACGCCTTCCTTCTTTCCCTTTTACATACTTTTCCTGCCCCCTCTCCCCATCCCACTGATTGCTCTATCATTGTAGGCTCATCACTTTGGACTGATGACTCCGTTCGTACTGCATCGGTTTTGCAAGCAACATCTGCGCGTCATCCGACACCGACATGCTCAAGCATATCGGAAGCAATCTTCAAGACTCGACGACCAGTGGATCTGGTCGCATTCAATGTCCGCACTCTGAAGAAAGCAGTTCAACAGGCTGCACTTTCATTGGACTTGCTTGGCATTGGTGTGTACTGTGTGTCAGAATTCAGGATGCAGGCACAGCGGTTGGGCTAACCGCCCCATCACTCTCCACTCGCCTCCGGCTACGCACCTCTGGTGATCCAGAGGCTGTTGCGGTAGGATGTACAGAGGTTAGTGTCGTCCATGACTGGGTACCCGTTAATGGTCGCCTCTGTGCGGTTCGTCCAGCAACGTCTTTGAAGGAGTCCGACAAGGAGGAAGTTGATCAATCCAATCAATTCAATTTATCAGCTATAAACAGTGTGCCATAGGCACATTGGTTCCAGCTGCTATAGTTTCGATCACCGGAAAACGGGAAATTGGAATACAAAACCAAGCCTTGGAGGCGAAGATATGCTTAGTTTGTTTGGAAATTGGGTAGCTACCCACTGAAGGCGACAGCTTTGATGCACGAGCGCCATTGACTGCGCGAATGGACCATTTCCGCCAATGTCAATAACCACTGATCATTTGAGTCCCGAGGTTCCCATCCAGGAAGGCGGCAACTGCCCACCCGACTTAGTTTACTGGTTATTGGTTTGTTGCTTCGTTGCCAGGTCATACATTGTCCACTTCTCGGTCGCTTCCACTCAGCACAGGGCTGGGCGAAAAAAGCTCTGCGAGGCAGATGGTCTTCTGGCATGCGGAGTACATGACCCAACCAGCGCAGTCTATGAAGCGTGAGTAATTATTCTATTGTGGGGGAGTTCCTTCTCCCTAAAACCACTTGGCGTACCTCAGCACTACTACTGCGATGTTCTCACCAGACCTGACCAGTGCTTTGGAGACACCGATGATCAAACACGAACATTTTCGGTATATCCTTTGCGCGTAAGGGCCAGTTCTCTGATCCATAAAGCAGTATGGATCGCACCGTAGCAGTGTAAACTCTTACCTTGACAGACAAACTCATGTCACGGCGCCGTAGGTGTCGGAGGTTTGCAAAAGCCGCCCTGGCCTTTCCGATTCGAGAAATCTCATCTCCAGCCAATCCACCGGGACTTATACAGCTGCCCAGGCAAACAAATTTATCCGCCACGTTGATTAGCTCACCTGCCAGCACCCACCCAATCTTGTAGCAGCACTTTACACTTCGCAGGTGTGAAGCTCACGCCAAACCATGCGGCAGTTATTTGGGTTATTTAAAATCGTTTGCATTTGGAAAGGATCTGGACCAAGGAGAGTAATATCGTCTGCATACTCAATGTCTGTGAGGGGACGTCCCGAGAGGATTTCGACTCCCGAGGTTCCAGAGGCAGGCAGAGAAATTTAAAGCAACATATGAATAACCAAAGTTGAAAGGGAAGGAAAGGAGGACAGCCTTGTCTTACACCACTGGGCTTCCAGTATGCGCCCACGGGAGTTCGCATACCGTGTCCTCATAAGGGAGAGAAATTGAAAAAAGGCACCTTTGGTCACCAGAATCAAAAATAGCTTTCAAATCCAGTAAAGCTACTAACGTGTGACCCCTGAAGGAGTGGTGCTGTTCAGGAATTTTTCTCAAAGTAAAGATATGGTCAATTCACTTTCGACCAGGGCGAAACCTAGCTTGATTCCCACGAATCTGTCTCTCCCGACAATCCATCAACCTGCGCAAAATAATGCCAGAGAGCACTTTAGATGTGACGGATACCAGGCTGATACCACGATGGTTTCCGCATGACGTTCTTGCTCCCTTTTTGAAAACTGGGATGACGGATGCTGACTGGGAGCACCATTCGGCTGGTATTCTGCTTCCATTCCAAATCTTCTGCACTAGAGTTGTCAGACTGTTCACCAGGACCTCGCCACCTTCTTTGAAGAGCGCAGGGTGTAAACCCTCCGGGACAGGTGCCTTGTCGCGCTGCAAGATTGAAATCTCGCGCCCGATTTCGGTTGCTGATAGTGGATT